GAGGATTCAACCAAATTCAAAAATTTCTTCGCCCAAATACTTCAAATAAAGTCTAGATTTGTTTTAGCGAAAAAAAAATTTTGGGGTTAGGTGCACTTTAAGACCACTGGTGTAGGGAGAATCTGGTTTGAAATCAGATAAGCCGTGCGTCCGTTCAGTGGTTTCATTGACCGGTTTTCCCAGCTAGCCACTAGTTGTAGAAAGGTCTACCAAGAGACTATGATCTATGATCATAGTCTCTTGGTTCCAGTCATAGTCCCACAAGTTTCTTAAGAAGTAAGAAAAAGCCATGTACTGATATGAGATGAGAGACTGGATAGCAAAGGGATTATTTTATCGCCATCTGAAGGGGAGGGCTACTGAATATAATATATCAGCCTTCATGATTACAGCTAAATTCAGTTTTAGTCAAACTCTCGAGCAACTGATGAGAGACGGCTGCAATCGCACTAAGTTTAATGATCTCGCTAAGTAACAAAGCTCAGAGCAGATAGACATAATAAAAACAGTGAAGCAGAAGGTACTTCTTACTTATGGTACATCCTCGTTTTGCCTTAAGGATTCTGCGAGCTTTCTCTTTTACATCTACCGGGTAGCTTGGGTCATCAAGGCAATTTGGACAAAGGAGACATGCTAGAAACTGTCAACAAAGATATTAAAATGCTTAATACAGTACTTAAATAAACTTTTGTCCTACAATCATAGACAAAAGTGTTGACACGTTTGAGCAAAACAAACGCTTTCCATCGGCGTCCTTCCGTAATTAAAAAAAAAAAAGAAACCATCTGTTTTGTCGATAGCCAGGCCCCCTCTCCCCTTTTTCAATGCTGAAATACGCTCCGTGGACACTGTCAAATTGTTACAACATTGAAAAGGGGAGAGGGGGTCGAAATGTGAAAAATGGAGATTGAAAAACTCGCGCATTCTGCGAAACAGGTTTTTTTCGGGAGTGTCTCAGCTGCTTTTGTCCATGATTGTAGCTTCGCAAGCAGACATTAAAGGGAATTTCAGGAGAGGGAATTTTTCTGAGTAAGGATGTTTTTCTTCGTTAGGTTGTGCTTAATTTTTTAGTTTTGTTCCATAAATTTCTTTTGCCCAACTAGTTTTGCAATTTTTTTTTTCGCTGACTTGTACAGGAAACCTTTTTGGTCTTCCTGCCCCCTCCCCCCTCGTCGAATTGTACAAGATTGCGTGACGGCTGTTAGATAGCGTGCCCAAATATGTGGTTATTTTTGTCGCGGCTGAGCGAATCTGTAATCTAATAAAGTACTACCTATAGTTCTATTTGTGACGCTGGCCGTTTGTGTGCTTATCGCCAACTAACGTTGTAAGGAACGAACTATGAGCCGCTTTTTTCAGTTTCTGGCCGGACAGTGTTTCTTTTTTCAGTTTCTGGGAGGACACACTCCGCTCTAAAACTAAAACAGATTTACTGAAGTTAGCCGTATCATATAACGCGTCAAGGTTAACCGGGCACTGAAATGTTTCCATTTGTTTGTGGAATGAAGCTTTTGATCTGAAGCAGTCAAGTATTACTGGGAATTCAACAGAAAGCATTCAGAATGTTAGAAGCCGTTATAACATTTCTTGCCTACATTGCTGAAAGTTTCACCGGAAGCGTTATCGAAAACTACTCAGAACAAGATGTCGGCGAGCGAGTTCAGAAAACAGCGACAGTACGGAGGTAGAAGCTCTGGTTCAAGAAGGAGCACTGAGTGATTTCACAGAATTTGATCCAAACGACACTATTTTTCAAGAATTCAATCCACCACTTGGACACTATGGCAAAATGGCGTGGAAACTTTCCCGTCCCTCGGCTTGGAAATCAATGCTTCTGTGTTTCAAGACTGTGTTTACAATGCAGTTCGTGTTCGGGTCTAGCATCGGTTTGCTGGCAGTCGCAGTCATTTTGTTAGACCTTAACACGGCTGATCTTTGCTATGAAAAGACGTTTACATGGGACAGCATTCCGCCTTTAATTCAGAGTATTCGAGTTACAGGCCAGTGTGTCGAAGGGTTCTTCATCGAGATTTGGCATTTCTCGATAATGCTGTGCATGTTTGGTTGTCTGGTTATGAAAGAACTCAATCTTTTAACGATAAATCTTCTCGCTGCCTTTACAGATACTTGCTATCGCCTTTTTCTACAGATGTATGGCATCTACAAACGTCCCTGGATGACGTACCCTCTGAATGTTTTGTCAGCCTCGCTGGTAATCGGTAACAGCTTGATCATCGCCAAACGGATCATACCCGTACAAACGTACGGCAAGAAGACATTGTGCAAGGTTGCAGCTTTGTTAGCTCTGCAGTTTTTATTTGGCTTTCCGATCGCCTGGTCACTAGCTTACAAGATCTTTCCGTGGTATACGGAGAAAACCGAGCTACAGAAAGTGTTCATTGCAGCATTAAGCCCATTAATAGTGTGTATCCCTAAAGTCATCGCTCGCACAGCCGTACCGAAGCTCAACTTCGTTCACCCCGGTGTCCTGCACCTCTTAGTGAGTACTCTGTACACTGCGTCAGCGGTAGTCTTTCGTGTCATGCAAGCAGAGTTGACAAGCTTTCCGTTATTTGTTGCTTTGGGAGTTGGCCACGCTGTAATCGATCTTCTGGAACGCATAACGGTTATGATGCGAGACCACATCTGGGAGTACATGTATAAACTCATGTCACGCTGTGATAGATCACAAACGAGGAATTTCCACGCAGGACAAGCTCGCACTCCTCGAAGCATGCGTTTCGTGGCAGATGTCAGCATTCAGCTTCTTCTCACAGAGCCCACTGCTTTGGTTTCAGCGGTTGGATTCATCCAGCTCTACCAGTTTATGTACCCTGATAATTTGCACGCGCCTGAAGATTACTTTACAGGTCTTTTCTGGGAGTTTCTTTGGCGTTGTCTTGGCGGTCTTGCCATAGATGTGATTTTCAACACCATTTCTGTGTGGTTGCAAGTGATGCTGTTCAACATTGCCGTGTTAAGAGTGTGGAACAGTAAAAACTGGCGAGCCCACGTTACAGCTAATGCAATATGCACAGTTATGGTGGCTTTGTACTTCACAGAGTACCTCTTTGCTATAGTTAGAGGCAAACATGACGGTAAAACGGCGAAAAGATTTGCTTTTAACTGTTCTTTACCCTTTTCTAAGTTCTAATCATAGAGCTCGTCAATTTTAATGTATAGGCTCCGGCGAAAAAAAGTCTCAAGAGAAAAGTGGGCCGATTGTAATGTCATTCCTGTGAACCGTACATGTGATGTCACAACAACACAGTGTTTCCCGGCAGCTGAATGCTGATTAGCTTATTAAGATATTACAAGCTCCGGTTCGTAAAAAAGCATAAAATGAACTTGCGTAAATATCCAAAATATCCGGACTCGACCGAATAATCGGAATCTATGTTGTCTGATGCCATTTCTTGATGCTTTTTAATGATTTTGGTGACTGAGGGTCACAATATGGAGATTTAAGGTCAGAAATTTCAGATGAAACCCATTTAATCGCATGATCATTTCAAACGCCAAGAAATTGGCTTCCCGGCTACATTAGGTCACACATTTCCTTTCGCCCGGCCGTGAGCCAGAATATCGAACTTCAAACCTTCGCAGATAAGCGAGGATTTGATGGATGAAGTCGATTTGTTTTTTAATCTTTTTCAAATTATATATTCTTTTTGAAAAGACATACAAAAAATTGGGGTTAAGGGCACATTAGCCTCCCGATTGGTCTTCAATAACCCATATTTAACTGCGATACTGTACAGACATCACCAACCTGTCTCATAGACGTGATTGGTGGCTGGCCAAATCCTTGAGGGTCACCAAAATGTAGAACAAGTTCATCAAAAGGTTTACTTTCACCCTTGTAAAATACAAAAAAATAAAGCAGTTTTGTCAGTAAGCTTCGTTGCAGACTGCAGACCAGGAGTAAAATGCAGACTGCAGAATACAGACTTTTCAAGTATCAAAAGGTTTGTAGTCTGCATTTTACCCACAGTCTGCATTTTATCTCCGGTCTAAAGTCTGCAGTCCGCAGTCTGCGTTTTACACTGACCGTATATTCGTTACTTGATTTCAAATACCTCCTGTTCTCGTTTACGGGCATATTTGCACCACGCAGTTCGAGCGATTCGTCTGTGTTCTTGTCTTGTTCAGTGTTATGATTTCAATAAGTTTCTTAGATATACCATTAGCGTTACATGTAATAATTGTGTAAAGAATTTGTCACCTTCTCATTTGTCTTCTGGAATTTTGTGCTATTTTGGCTTTTTCCTTCCATTCGCGTTAATTTAAAATATCTTATTAACATGTCATTAACATAAATATATTGATTTATATTTAATAAAGTTTGTGGTTGACTTGCTTTCACGTCCTACTTTACTGGAAACCAGCGCGTATCCGCGAATACTTTAAATTTAAAGCATGGCGAAAACGCCGTGGACAATGAATAAACATGGATTCTAAGTGTTATCATAGCTTGTGAAGAAATTTCGTATCATTTCGTTACCCAGCCAAATCTACCCCAGGAGGTTGCCTAATTTCGACTGATTGATCAAAATATCAAAACGAGGCTTGAAAATATCAAAAGTATATAAGGGAGTGATCAGCTTGAATCTGCGTGAGAAAAAAAGTGCATCTACACTCGGGCCGGAGTCACGCAATGCACCCCGTCAAGCGTTGTGGACTCCGACACGAACGGCTACATTATATTGTATTGGTATTTAAATGAGACCACAGTTAGCTACAATTTGCATCTACAGTGTACAGAGTAATTTCAAGATGATTTTAAGTTCATTGGTGAAACATCTACAAACCTAGTGGCAGAACAGTTGCCTATACTTGACAGAAGTAATTTTCCTAAGGCGGAAGGAAATGAAGTATACATAACATCTATTTGTGTTATCGATTGGTGACATTAAATGACAAAGCAGAATTTACGTGTCATGAATAATAACCATGATACAAAGTGATTAATATGCTGGTTTCATGCATTTACAAACATTTATCGTCTTACTCCGGCATATCCTTATTTACTGTTCATGCCGTAGTACTGTTCAGACAGTCTCGATAGCTCCTCTTACAATTGCAATTTTTCTATCAAAATTTTCCTCTCTGTTTTATAGATAGAACTAACCCGTGTTAATTCCTGCTGGATCTCGGTGGCCCGAGCGGTAACCCATCCTGTCTGGTACACTGCTCTTTGGAAAGCAGGACTGATAGTCTTGTCCGTAATAATTTCGTCTACCACTGTTTCCATCTGATATAAATGAGAAGCAACGAAAATAAATGAATACTTTTACCATTAAATTACTAATAACTGTCTTTTAACTCAACCGACCGTGTAGATGCAACAAACACTTCCAGCGATCGCTTTGAAGTTCCACTGTTTTCGTTGTTAGTTGTCACGCAAATCAAGCCTCGTTCCCAGGGTCACACACGTCACGCAGTTGCGCGCGCACGAGGTAGCTTGAAATGCTGGGGATTAGAGTGAGGGCGGGAGATGACTGACATTTCAGGTTAGGTTGAAGTGGGAGTAGATATATATCTCATAACTTAGCGCGAGAGCCGTACTCTAGAATATAGGCTCGAGGTCTTGAAAGTACGGACCGAGTTTCGTAGCTGACACCTGTAAATTAAAAGAGTAGGTGTAACATGTTTTGTCTCTGAACACTTTCCATTCGACCAAAAATTCCAGACCAGGAAATGATGTTCTACAGTATTTGCCACTAGAAATTCAAAGCAAGGTCTATCAGTGACCGTAAGCGAACAGTTTCGTGGTCGATTCGCCGCTTGATGTGACTGCACTTGAAGAATGAGACCACGTAATTAAAAGTGCATGTGGAAGGACACAAAATTTTCACTTCGAAATCAAAAGGTAGGGCAAAGTTCAAGACAAAATTTATGATCATAAATAATTTAGACGGGAATTGTTGCAGCCATTAGCCTCGACATATATTTTGTAATTATTTTTATGATTGTTTTCTTATCTTTGTAAATAAAATATTTGGCATGTTACTAAGTGGAACTACCGTGGATAAAAAGACATCGAGGATCCAGCAATTCCCCGAAGCCGATTTTCATCGAAAAAGTTACGGTTTCGGGGTGCGTTAAACTACAAAGAAAGAGTGCAAATAAGCCAATCCCAATTGGCTTTTTACCTCTGTTTCAAAACGAGTTCTGGTGCACAACCTTTCATATGGAGATGAGTTTGATTTGTAAGTAAAACTCATTTCCACATGAAAGGTTGTGCACCATGACTCGTTTTTACAGCATCTCGGAAATAGCTAATTGAATTCATGTGCACTCACTGGTGTTTAACTCAATGTCGGTTTTACTCTTCTTTTCCAGGTGCAGATGGGTGCTGGGTCTTTTTTGTCTTCGGTGTTAAAAGATGACGATATCCAGCGACTAGCAAAGCGTTGGACTCAACTGTCGTAGAATGGGAATGAAGACGTTTACTGGAGAGGTACGTGGTGTTCAATATGAAGAACAGTCTGACACTTACTGGAAGTTTAGAGTGCACGCGTACATCATGTTTTAGAGAACACCTGTAAGAAGGGGCGCTAAAAGCCATACTTCTCGAACTCGATTGAAACACAGGACAAGCACGACCTGTTGACGTAACGAAGGCGCGTGCAAAAAGAATTTATGCATTAAGGATTTAGTGGGTTTTTGTCTGTTTTCTTAATCGAATTTTACATTTGCTCTTCACGCCTTTCACCTAAAAGATTTGAAAATAATTTAGTAAGATATTTGAACTTGCGCGCGGAAGAAAATTTAGTGGTGAACAATAAAGACAATAGAGTGTTTATCTCGGAACTATCGGTCTGATAATTGCCTCCTGGAAATTTGATGTTCTTAAAACTAGCATATTTGCCCTCGAAACGTAAGCTTCGAGGGCAAATATTTGTTTTATCATCCGATAGTTCCTCGACAGGAACAGTCTACTGTTTAAGTATAGCATTGCCAGCACTGATGGCCTCCCAATCCAATTCGACACACAAGACAATAAATAAGCGTGCACCATGTAACAAATAGATTCCATGTTGCCGTGTGTCTGTTCAGTAATAGATCACAGATGACGTGAAAATGTGGTAAGAACAAAAAAGTGGCACACGAGGCGATAACCGAGTGTATCACTGATGCTTTTACCACATTTTGACGTCTTCTGTGATCTATTACACACGGCAACATGGAATCTATTGTTTTATATAATAAACTTTTTACCTTTTTTAAATTTTTAAATTTTTAAATCTCACAGGACCCCTTTGATAACAGTACTTTATAGTACTGATGGGTTAATCCTGTCTAAAGATTCGTTTATTATTATTATTATTATTATTATTATTATAGAAACAAAAATGGTAATAATGACGTCATCTCTATGTCTGTCCTCCAGAAGATGATAAGAAAGAACCAATCCAAATGCGAGAATAATTTGACTTATGATATAAAACTACATTGTCCACGTTAAAGCATGAACCAATCGTTATTCTCTCGCACGTGTTTTCCCGCGCTTCGTGCGGCTAGTTAGGTTTGATGATAAACTCTTACAGATGAACAGTTAACCTTCGGTCTACATTTGTACAGTTTTAGTTTGTTTGTCAGTTTCAGATCATATCACATATAAGTCGGCCCTGATTTGATTGCTAAACAGGTCATTCTTGTTTTCCTTTCCATAGGATTAACGTTCCTATAACTCTCAAAACAGTGCTGAACTTCGGTGTATAGAGTGAGTGTAACTGCATCCTACACAGCCACACTCAAGCCAGGTAATTCACACGCAAGTACTAAATTTCTGAAAACATGCGCGTGAAATAAATCTAACATGATAATTACTGCCAGTCAAATTGATCTTCACTGCTTACTAAGGGAGTTTATATAGAAGATTGGTTAGGCAACAATGAGCCCTGAATCTCATATAAGGGTGGTCTACAATACTTCACAAAATGTTCTATCGCAACAACGGTTGTAGGTCGTTAATACTGACAAAGACTTTGGGCGCAAGCTTGTCAATTAGTAGCATTAATTACTCTGGCAACGTCAAGGTTGGTAAAGTGGGGCCTTACCTGGTTAACCGCCTGCTACTTAACAAGTTCCTCTAGTGCATAAAAGCCCCCGGGGTGATATGGCAGCCACTCACCAATGAAATTGATGCACATTGGTAGCTCTTTGGTAACGCTACACTCAAAGGGTGGATTCTGGTACATTTAAACAAAGAGACAAAAGCAATTGGACGACCAAAAAAAATGCCTCGCCCTACCCCAGTTAGCCTTCTGGTTGAGGAGTCTGCCCTTGAACCCTGGTTGGTTGTGTTCAGTCTTCGTCAAGATACGTTACTTGGTACAAAGGATTAGTGTCCCGTTCAGAAAGAGTAACATTTCACAACACGAACTCTAGCATCAGGTTTTACCATTAGGCTCTCTTAAAGAGTGGGAGGGGTGGGTCAGTAGAGGAGAACTCGTGAAACTACCAAACAGTTGGTGTTGTGTCTTCTAAAAGTTTCTGGAGAGGGGAGTAGAGTTCAGAGATCTTATAGTTTGTTATATAGTGTAGAGTTGGTTTAATTGAAATAGACGAAAACCATTGGCCCACGAAGCATTTTTCGGTCAACGGAATTACACACTCTACAGTCTTTATGACGACATTCTTCATCTGGCTGTTGGTATTCCTTTTGCCTTTTGTTTATGTTATTTGTTTGCTTTAGAATATTTTTGCCTGTGGCTAAGTGACATTTCATTTTTTTTAAACAATTTTTTTAGAACTATGGTTCACAAAATAAAAACAAAAAACAAAAAACAAAAAAGGACAAAAAGAAAACAACAACAACAACAAAAGACAATCGTTCGTTAGTTGCTATCTCTCGCAAACTTGAACTTTTCATTAAGTCAAGCTGCTGTCAAATTCTAAGCGTATTCTTCCAATACTGATTTACACCCCTTACTTGCAGTCAATAAGAAATTGCAGTTAACCATGGACGGTGTTTTAGGTTTAGCTTATGGCCTTTGCCAACTCTCTAAAGTTTTTAAAGGGATTACAACTAGTCAACAAGCGCGTCCAAAAAAAAGGAAAAAAAAAAAAAGGAAAAAAAAAAAAAAAAGAAAAGAAAGTTCCGAGCTGTATTCGAACTTCGGGTCACCTGGACTGCAGAGCGACGATGATCTCCATTACACCACGTGGTACACGTATAGAAGATCTGTAAAAAATAATTAGTCAAATGTATAGCGTTTGGATATTTTCCTAAAGTGCTGCAAGATTGTTGCGTATATTCTTTTAGTTCAAGTTGTGATAATATATCAAAAGTGATGATCAGAGCAAAGATAACTTTTTTCCCCTAAATTATGCGTTTGTGATTTTAAAACAAGACTTTGAGGTTTTCCAGAAGCGTACGATCGGAGGTTTGTCGTCGCTCTTTGTTCCGGCACTTTCGATCTTTTATTGATCGACTAGTAGATGACTATGTTATCTGCGGGTATGCCTTTCATGCAGCTGTCCGCTTTCCTGTAACGTAGAAATGTTTCCGTAGAAAAATCACCCTTCCAATTTTGCTAGTTTTCCATGGATTCAAAACCTCAAGAAATCAAAAGACATTAGGTCACTCATTTTTAAAAATGAAACAATCATGCAGGGTGTAAGTGATCATTGCTTGGGATTTGGCCTTTATACTTGGTTATTTTCCCTTTTTATTTCGTCACGCTTCGGTCATAATAAAGATACATTATTCGTAAACTTGAGAGCGATAGGCAATTATCGCTGTACAAAATGAATGCTGACAAACTTTGTTTGTGTGTATTTCAGGTTGGCCACCTTCTTTTGTGCTTGCACGGGGGACTGTTGGTAATTTCAAGATGGATTGATCGTACACCACAGATGATATCTTAGAGTTACCAGCCGATAAGTTGACTTGACTACCTCATGCACAAGTGACAGGTAAGATATCTTTTATCTCTAAGAAAAATGTCTTTAATGACTGTTTAACTTAAGTAAACACAGTAGAACCTTGTTAATACGGTCACCAACGGGCCGTGAAAATTTAGCCGCATTAACGGGATAGGGTCAAACCTCACGACTGGTCTAAATTGAGTGAAGTCTTAACAGATCTATCACAATTGCACTTCTGAACAACTGTTCATTAATAAGCATCCGGAATGCAGATATAATTTTTTAAAAAATTGAAACTTGAACCAGAATATGAACAATCGAAAGATGAACATAACTGTTTTGAGTGACCGTGTTCACGGGGTAAAATTATAACGGATTATACACGTCGGTTGGGATTTCTGAATGTGGCCGTTGGCCGTATTAAGGTGGCCGAACACAGTTTTCAAGAGCCTCTGCCTAATTCACCATTACTTTAAAGATATTTATGCTTTGGCGCCCGTTTTTTGCAAGAGTCAACCTTAACCACAGAAGGGTTTATTCTCACATTTTGGCTAAGGTGAGTGCTGTTGCCATGGCAACCGGGCTGGTTAAAAACAAGACTTAAAAAATGGTTTTTGTTTATTTAAAAAAAATTCAGTCGTTAGATTTTTTTCATCATTTGCCCACTATGAATTGACATTAAATCCCTTCTGTC